AACTGTCAATTGTTTGATAGTTAAACTTTAGACTGTAAATCCTTATTGGATAGGGGTTGGAGGATTTCTAGGCTAGGATAAGCCTCAAAATCGTCCAAGGCATTATCTTGGGAAGGATTTGGATTGCTTTGAGTAATAGTTATCCAACTAGGGTTTGAGTTGTAACCCTTAAGGAGTCTACAAGTATAAATAGACCCTATGGCAAAGGGAATTCGGTACTTCATCTAAAGTAGAGAACCCCTGGCCAAATTCCCTCCTCTCTCCTCTCTCTCAAATCATCCTCTTTGCTAGTTGGTGTTTGTAAGCCATTAGAGGAGTGACAATTGTGACTCTAAAGCTCCAAAAACAAGAAGATCAAACAAGTGTTTCAAGGTATGCTTCTAACTCTGGTTTTGTGTTGTTCTTATACCTAATTAGCCATTAGGAGTCTTGGATTCAAAGCATGTTTAATAGAGAAACCTAGATCCGAGCATTAGGGTTTGTATGCGCACTTAGGAATGTTCTTATGTACAAAACCCATCACTAAGCTCTCTCCCGAGACTTTGCAGTGATCTCTACCATAGTCTCAGTAGTCTGGCGGAGATCTAACAACCCTTGCGTCAACTGTTGCGCCTCAATCTCCAGGGAAAACACCGCCCGAAATCCGGTCGAAAATTCATCACATGGCACAGCATCGACCGCGTCATCAACCAAATCACTACCAATCTCTTCTCATTAATCATGCCCCTATCCTTTAGGAAATAAGAAGTAAATCGGACATTGTCCCTCTCATGGAATAGTTGGCACGAAAAGTGTTGACGGAATTGTTAACCCTCTGCTGCTAGCTATGGGGTCCCTAGCCCCATGATAACTTGGAGCTTCAGAAGCTATGAATGCCCGACTCATCAATGTACGCGTCCCTATCATGGCTGCTATCTCAGTGTAGAATGCACTCGGCCTCTCATCATAAATCTCTAAAATGCCCTTCTTGACCATACCGAAGATCACAGGAGTCTACTAAGTGATACTATGCGTACTCTCATATGGAATGAACTCCCTTATCTGACCATCAAGCTGTCCGGCTCTAGAGTCCGAGCCTGATCCCTTACCGGCACCAGATCTACCATATGGCCTACCACGTAGCGTCACCATACTCGGAAATATACCATCACAATAATCAAAATACTCATCATAACTCAAGGGATCTCACACACTACAATTTTCATGGGTTCATCTTAGCCTTCATTGATTCGAGTATAGATTCTATGCTTTTAGTAGTACGGGCCCATACTACCTTCCATATCTATCCATACTTTCCTCAAGAACTACCTTGACTCAACAAGTCCCTTCTCGGCTACTCTCATCCTAGGACTGCCCTAGGGTAATCACAATCCCACTCTCCGCCATCAACCGCATAAGAAGTCCTTGCTATCCCCCTAACTAGCTCGCGAATACCATTACATATCACTAAGACTAGATAATTCTTCAAATGAGAGATCCTACCCTACAACGGTTGGACTCAAACAAGAGCTGTGAAATAGAGCTAGACCTAACCTTCTAAAATTATTTACTTCTCGCAATATTTAACTTAACATATTCGTTTACTAATTAGTTGAAAAGGCAACTAGAACTCCTAAAAGCACAAGGCAAAAAACATTCGATCATCGAGTAAACATAATCAAGTATATACTAGTCAAACCATCATACTGACTAATCTGTACTAGCATGCAGTTCATAAAGTTGATACACATATAATAGGCACATAAGGCATCCTTCCTTGATGCTTAGCCCTAATCTAGCATGCAATTCTCATAACATAACATAACATAAACTTGTATGGGTAGTTTGGGAGTACTTACTTGAGCTCGACTGATTGCATGTACCACACCCTTTTTCTTTTCTCAAAATTCTTTCCTCTTTTCAATTTCTTTTGAAAATTTCCATACCAAGTCGTTAGTTTGAGTTCAGACACACTCGAGAGTGTGCCCGAATTCCTCAAACCAAGGCTTTGATACCAACTTGAAACATCCCAAAAATACAGTCCAAAAGTTTCATTATAAATCATTAAGAAAACCTTAATATCAAACATCATATAAAAATCATAAGTCGTGTATCTCGAAATATTACAAACATCTGTCAAATATATCAGAGTAAAAACACACTAGGCTACAGCAAATGGTGTTCGCACTGCAATCATCTCGATCTCCTCTTTTAAAAACCGAAGTACCTGAAACTAAAACTTTAAACTGTAAGCACGATGCTTAGGGAGTCTCCCCAAACTACCACATACCATACACATAATCGTGCTACTGACAGACACGGGCCCCGCCTACACTCTAAGAGATACGGGCCCCGCCCACACTCGGTTAACTTGGAGATACGAGCCCCGCCCACACTCTACTAACTAGGAGATATGAGACCCATCCACACTCCGCTAACTAGGATATATGGGCCCCACCCACACTCACATACATAAACAAACACATACAAGTATCACACGGACAACTAGTACACAACATACTATTATACCAATAACCACACTCAAGTAATGATGACATACCAGCCCCACCCACACTCAACTAATGATGAGATACAAGCCCCGCCCACACTCGAATAATGATGAGATATGGGCCCCACCCACACTCGGCTAATGATGAGATACGGGCCCGCCCACACTCGAATAATGATGAGATACAAGCCCTGTCCATACTCACATACGTAAACAAACACATACAAGTATCACACATACAACACGTATAACAATCCAACAATCTGGTTGATATCTATACTCTGATAATAATGAGATACGGGCCTCGCCCACACTCAGTATTCCTACCAAGAACATATATACTACACGAGCCAACATTGGTGCCTTAGACCCATTCCTACTAGAAGAGGACTCACCTCGCACTACTAAAGTCCAACAAATAAATCTTGGACTGCTGGCTGATAGATCCCCAAGTTGTCAACATCAAAACAAAACCCACTTAACCATTTAGGTTTCCAATGTATAACTATAAAATACACACTTGGGGTAAAAGGACCATTTACCCGTAACATAGCTTGGTCCAAGACCAAGGCCCAACTCATACTTTGATGGCCGAAAAGTCAAACAATGATCTAAAGCCCAAAATATGGCCCAATTTTCCAAATTCGGCCCAAACTCCTCACATGGTCTTTCTTTAAGGCCCAACCATTTATTCGGGTCCGAACACTTAGCAATCCAATGGTCCAATACCTCATAATCATCAAGGCCCAGTTATGGCCCATCTATGGCCTAATTTTGCCAATTGGGCCCAAGCCTATCCAATGGGCCTTATCCTAAAGCCCAATCAAAATATTCTAGTCCATATACTTGTTAGTAGTTGGTCATCAAGAGTCCAGACATCTAGGCCTAACTCAAAAGCCAACATAATTAGGGTTTTCACGTGAAATGACGATTAGGGTTAAATAGAAACACTTAACCCGTTAAGGACTTAATACTTTAAGTCCATCAATCTACTAGGTCAATCATACAATGTAATTTGGCATAATTCAAATTTCAATTCTAATGGCACATTACGTAGGTCCCGATAGGTCCAAACCAACAAACCCAAAATTAGTGTTTTCTAAAACCTAATTCGATCTTCTAACCCAAACACAAGCCAACCAAGTCCAAAATTAAGCTTTTAGGTCCATTATGGTTCCACTAGGTCAGACACCACCCACTGCTACCTCGGGAAGTGGTGGTCAGCGGCGGCGGCCACCATTTCTAATGGTGGTGATGGTGGTTCCAGCCAAAATTCCATACACCGCTTTGCACCTATAAAATACACACTCACACACACAAAAATACACACACAGCCACCCTTCATGGTGGTTGGTGGCGGCAGAAAACGATGCTAGCCACCACCGTATGGTGGTAGCAGTGGATTTCTAGCCAAAACACGCATGCCTACGCATTCAACTCGTGGCAGCAACATATATATGAAAATGAGTCAAGACTAAAGCTGTCAACCACCAACTACGAAGCTGTTGTCGTTGAAACAAGTAGAAATAGCGGTTCAAGGACCACTGGCGACCACAACTGTCATACACAACGAAAAATTAAGGAAAGGAACAAAAGATGGATGAGATAAGTTATAGTTTAACCTGACCGAGGCCTTCCCGTCATTCACAGCCTGAGCTTCAGCATTCTCAGTTTTCTTGCATTGGTCTCGGCAATCATCCAGTTGCACACAGTATCTCCGGCAGCAGGTTGCGATGGTGACACATCAATGGCGAGGCAGCAAGCGGTGGCTGAGGAAGTTCTCGATGATGACGACTGAAGTCTTGCTAGGTTTAGGGTTTGTTGGTGTATCATCACACGGGATAAAAAGCCACCGAGTCCACACATGTGCCCATACGAAACTTGTTTTCCATTTTCCAATTTCGGCCCCTCCTCTATAAACCTTTTTCAACCTAAGTCGAAAACTTACCTATTAGCCCTTGCTTCCATAAATCCTTTCATATTAAGTCCAATACTTACCAAACATCCCCTTACTTCTAAAAATCTTTAAAAAATAAATCCTGAAATTACACTTTAACCCACAAAAACCCAATTTATATCATTTGGTTCGCAGAAAACAACACTCTGCTAACTATTATGGATTTTAGGGCTATAATTTATATAAAATTTTTATCCATTTTTTTATGTAATAAACAAGGTGTTACAACAGTTTCATAGAAGTACTTGACTAGTTTATTGACCACGATGACTTTTTGTGGTCGGTAATTTTTGGCTTATATTTGTTTGATTTTTAATACTTATCTTGCATATTGTTGCTTGGTTTGTTTTTTTGTTTTGCTTTTTTGCAGATAGTGGCTAGCCATTGCGAATAACATATAAAGCAAGGGACCGCACAAGAAAGAGAAACCTGGTCACCTCTTCATCGTTTGTTGCACAGGTTGATCATGAATACCATTAATCAAAGACAAGAAATGATAAGGTCCCAACATTGGATGTGTTTTTCTTATGTGACCTCATCACACCTAATATCTATATGGGCATCCCATTCCTTTTGGTGAAATTTCTCTCAATCCTAGCAAGAAAAGATCGCCTTGGTTCTCCTTTATATGGCGGGATGTTGATCACCCGCATTGCACGGCCAATTGGCATTCTTGACAAGCATGAAGCCATGTACTTGAGAGTGGAGCCTCAAAAAGCTTTTTCTCCTTTTCTTTATAAAAGGGATAATATTGTTGTTCATAATGGGTATGGTAATTTTTCCATTCCCAATGATACTCCCCACAACCTACCCGGTAGTCGGGTAATACAGAGGGGTGGTGATGCCGATGAAGATGAGCCTCTAGTAATCTTGACAGAGGTCGACCTCCCCATGGACCCCTATAATGTGACTTTGAGGCAGTTCCAGGACAACTTGGCATGCAGTGTTAATTATACGAATATGAATTTGGATTTCATGATGCATTAAATGCATTTCACTCGACCCGATGATTTTTCGGCTATATATCCGCATGTTCCAAGTTGGGAGGAGCTGTGGTGGGAGTGACAAGGAGGAGCTAGTGGCAGTGGAGGTAGTGGTTATAATAATGATGATGAGGAATGAAAGATTGTTATCCTTTTCTTGCAAGTGAATAATAAGACACATTTTTGGGTTTATTTTGGTTTGTTTGGCGTGGTTATTTATTTTGGATATTTATCTTTTTTATTTGGTTGTTTTAATTTGACTCCTAGTTTTATCACTTGTCTTTGCTTTAGATTCCCACGAATTTTTGAGTCCATGTGAGGGGCAGTTTTGGTAAAAGAATGATGCATTTTAGAGAAAGATTAGAAAACGGCGAGAGAAGCGAGAGTTGAGCATTTCGAGTGTTATTTTGAGAAAACGAGTGAAGAGTCATGTCATCGAAATGTTTATCTTTGTTGGTGCTAAAGAGTATTGAAGAAATCTGTTGTATACAACACTGATTTGTGCCATTTCGTACTCAACATGACGTGGTTCTTTTCACCACGTTGTGGTGTCGTACCATGAGGTGGTGCCTTTTTGAGTCTGATTTTCGAGTCAAATCCTATACATTGTGAAGTATAAGTGTCCAAGTCATTGAGTCATGTTCCATAGCGGTTAACCACTTCTATTTCCACACTTTTGAGCAAGCTATACTACACACATCAGCCACACGAATCAAGATGCATCTTCTCTCCTAGGGGAGTCTATTCCTTTTTCTCCCTCTTTAATTTTATAGCATGCATTAAGGTCATTGCATGAATTAACTGTGGGGTATGGGGTATATTGCATTAGAGAAAAAAGCATTTGATTTTCTTTTACAAAAAATTGCATTGCTAGTTTTCACAAATTTGCATTCATATAGACTTGAAATAATAGCTTAATTTAGGAAAAGGTAGCTAATAAATTTTTTTTACTAGTATTGGGTGGGATAATTCGAAAAGAGCCCAAATGTTTAACCGAGCCAACACATGCTATAGTGTATTTGTGGCTTTCCATTTCCTAGTGAAAATTCATGAGGTATGAAAGGTAATCTGGTAGTTTATATGATATTATATGTTTTGCAACCTATACTTGAAATCTATGCAGGAGAGCTTATGTAGTCATTGCACTTAGACTAATTCCTCTAACCAATAAAGGTTGAAGTTAAACTCATTGCTTAAGCATGTAGGACTTTGAGTGAAAAAAACGAGATATAAAAAAAGAGAAAAATTACCAAAAAGTTGAAGAATTTTGGAGCTGACAAAGTATGAAATCTAAAGATCAAAAATTCTAAAGAAATTATAAAAGTGAAGATACCCAAAATCAAACAAAAAAGTGGTGAATTCAAGAATTGAAAGACAAATATCAAAGAAGAGATGAATTCCAAAGAACTCCATTGTGGTATCTAGTTGTAATTTTTCTAGAATTTATGTGTACTTGGTAGTTTAACCAAAAATACCTTGAGGTTAAGAAAGATTTATAAGGATTGATTTGTAGGGTTGCAAAAATGAGTGTCGTATAAGGTAAGGGGTGAACGTTCATATGGATTGTGAGTATTTAGGAATGGGAGGTTTTTAGGAATTATAGACACTAATACATGTATTACGGTATTGGGATAATGGTTGGGTTTGAAATGGATTGTTTTATGTGATACTGATGAAATAATAAATCAATTTGCTTGAGGGCAAGCAAAGAATAAGTGTGGGGATTTTGATATGTGTATATCTATACATATAATTCTACATCATATATTAATATTTTCAATTACTTTTATGCCATTTATAGAATAAAAGGTACTTAATTTGTTATGGATTGTGTTGAAGGGATAAAAGACATGCTTTGAGCAAAAATGAAGTTGAAAGCTGGAAGTTGGAAGCTAGAAGCTAGGATTTTAATGAAGACTTTTAGATGAAGAAAAAATGCACTCAACACGTCGTGGCAACATCCCCATGGCGTGGTGTTTTGATATTTCCAGATTAACTTTGAAGACTTGTTGAATACGGGATAACTATGAAGACCACGACGTGGTGGCCAAACCATGTCTAGTGGTCTGTTTTTCTAGAAACTATAAATATATGTCTTTCTTCTCCGATCTGGGAAGGTTTGCTGAGAACTATTGACGATTTTTGAAGGCCAAGGATCTAAATTGAAGCTTGGAAGTGAAGAAATCGATTGTAGTTTTGGAATTAAGAGCATTAAGGCAATAAAACTATTAATTACGATTTTCTATTCTAGTTTAATCATGTTTATGCTTAAGAATTTGGTTTTTCTGATTTTAGTTGCTGAAATCATGGGTTATAAACCCTATGACTTTCGTTTGGTGTAGATTTCATCGACTATGTATGGTTTGATTTATGGTTGGATTAAGTTCTTATTGGTTATTTATTGATTTAGCTTATTAAAGATTCTCTCGTACTTATGATAACTACTTAATTTATTTATTGCTGAGTTTAATTAAGTTTGCATGGCTATCTTTCTTAATTGAACTTGAATCTTATGATCTTTGTGTATTACAAAAATTGTAGGACTAGAGTTTTGACTAAAACCTAGGGTTAGATAGAAAAGTGGGTGAATAAGTGTATGGGATAATATATGATGACCAATCATATATTGAATTGAATCAATTAATAAAATTTGATCAATTTATTATAAGTCTAATTTAACTCAAACCAAACACTAGTGAGCTTGTTAGTTTATCTACTTGATCACCGTTTGAATGAACTTGTTTGCTAAAGGATTATGTTAGTGAATATTAACTAAGTTATCTTAGGAATCGGTAACCAATCTTAATCCAATGCACTTCCATAAATCAACCATAATAGCAAGTAAATTGAAACTAAACCAAAGTCTCTCAAATACCTTGGTTTAAATCGTTTCCTTTTGTTTCTTGCTTTAGTTTGATATTTGCTTTAGTTAACTGTAAGTTTAGCTTAGTTACTTAAGTTTCCATTCTTACAAAACCATAGAAACCCTTTTTCTAAATTTGTTAATAATTTAGTTAGATAGTAGATAAGAATTAACTAAATATCTCGTTCCTTGTGTTCGATACTTGTCTTTTGTGCTATACTATTTACAATAAGGTGCACTACCTTAGGTAGAAATTTAGTTACATTAGTAGGATAAAACTAGTGCGTAGTTATTTTTCACATCGGTGGAACACTTACATTTGAGGAACTCAAAGAGGGACTTAAATGTGTTTGGAGCTGAATTTATGAAGCTTGAAATAAAGGGCTTAATGGATGTTGTAAGGTTTTCTTCTTTTTCTTCTTTCCCTTTTTCTTTTTTCTTTTTAGTTTTGCGAGGTTGAAAGTTGATGGAATTACAGGCTGATATTGACAGTAGTGGAACCATAGATTATGGTGAGTTTCATGCTTAAACTATTCACTTGAACAAACTGGAGAAAAAAGTTAAAGGTTAAAAAGGCTACAGTGAATGGATGGTATGATCGGGTATGTTTTGGCTTGGGTATGCTTTCAAATGATTTTTTTTCATCATTGGTTTTCAAATGCGCACATCATTTTGTAAAAATTTATTTTGGTATAGATTCCACAATTTATTGTCATATATTCTTTCGATTGTTTGACATATGAAGGTTATTAGTTCTAGGGTTAACAGAGTGTAATAAAAATTGGAAGGAGATTCAGAAACACTTTCTAACTTATGAAACTCCACATTAGGCAAGTCTAAATAAGCATATTTGCATTCCTTCTTTAGATTTTCGAAACTTAATACGTAGAACAACAATGAAAACATTAATTATGGTCCAAAAATGTCTATACCTTTTCAGGATCTGATGATTTCAAATTTGTATTTGTAAACAAAAATGTATACATATTGCAATGCTCTGTGGACTGTTTAGGTTATGGAAAATGTCATCTATAGGGAATCCTTAACTTCTTGGTCTTATCTTCTCAAGAATAAAAATGGAATTTTTTTCATGAAGTGGGAGAAATTCATATTTATTCTTGGATGTATAGATAAAGTAAAATGTCTATTTTCACGAAGTAGCAACATACTTTCATTTAAAATCATGTCGTTTTCTTTGGTGTATCCAACCCCATAAAGCGGAAATTATTCCTTAGTTATTATGAATGTATTCGTATATTATTTAAATATTTTTTTGAATGCATAACAATAACTTTAAATATAAAAAATATGTTTTCAAAGATACAAATATATTATAAAGGTATTTATTCATTTAAAAACTTATTTAAACATTTAAATACACATTTATACATTTGGAATCTATGTATAACTTTAAAATTATATATATATATATATACACACACACACACAAACACACACACACGCATTAAAAATATATGTATTTAATAGGTACAAATATATATTTATTTTTTATAAAAATATAATATAAATATGAAAATACCTATTAGTATGGTTTATATATATTGTATAAAACACATATTTGTATGTAGATTAAATTACACGAATAGTCACTTGTGCATGTGTCAAAAGACACGTTCATTCCATATTTTCAAAAATTAACTTGGATCATCCCTTGTTTGATTTAAGCTCGCACACTTCATTCCTGAAAGATGAATGTGTTGCGAACTTAGTCTATCCGAGAACTTAAGTGACCATAATACCCTTGTGTTTTTATTTTTTATATGTATTTGATGTTATTATTGTTAATTTTAGTTACAAAAAAATAAAGGCCCACTACACTACACCCCCTACTCTATCTCCTCACTTCACTGTCTTATTAATCAGAGTGAACAAAGAAAAAAACACATAAACATACACACACATACACAAACAAACTCGATGCAAGGGAAATATGAGATCTACAACTTGCTGACTAATCAACATCCACTAACACCATCTCTACCCTCGAACAAAACTTATCTCAATACCTTTCACCATCTCTATCCAACTCCTTCACACATACTCACATCTTAACCATCGATGTCTAAATCCACTTCTAGCAATATCTAAAGCCATCGCCTCACCGAAGAAGGTGACCTTAC